GCCTGCGGGGCTGGTAAAGGGACTCCAGCACCAGCTGGACTTACAACTCAGGACGCACCGCGACCCACCACGTGTGCTGACTTCAGAGCTCAACGGGAAGACGGTGAAACCCACTGCCGAGCACGCTCTGTCTGAGGCCAGGCCCCTCCACGCCCCTGAGGACAGCCCGAGGGCACAAACACAAGGCAAGAGCAGACCTCCCTGGGCCTGGGGCGCAGCTGGAGTCCAGCTCCCGTGCCTGCTGAGAGGGGTGCTCCTGGCACAGCTGGCCCAGAGTACGGCATCGTTCACCGGCTCCGGCCTGCCAGGGCTCCCAGCGGAGGCTACAGCTGCTTGCGCTCCTGCGTGAGCTCGCCTGCGAAGGAGCCGGTCTGCTCTGGAGCACGCGGCTCGGAGCAGCTTTCACTCAATCAGCGACAGCTGAGTTAAATCCCTGCCTCTCTGTCTTGGGTCTCACATTTTAAAAAAGACGGTAATTACCCTTCCAGCCTTGTCCAGAGCTGTCACATGGCTCCAATGAAGTAAGAGCAGTGACAGGGAAGGGCCTCAGAGTCTCAAGGGCGCTCTCCAGGTGGGCACCACACTCCATGCATCAGTGAACTTCAAGCACAGAGACCCAGCTGGGCTTAGCTGGCTTCTGATCAAACGGCAGGGCCATCGGGTCATGTGTCCTCAATAATTTTGGAATTCCAGCTCAGAGGCAAGGATGGTGTCTAGATGCTCCTAGAGTGACAGGTTCACTGATGGAGACACCCACCCGTCGCATCCAACAAAGGCCCCCACGCTGGGAACGCCCTGTGAAGAGGGGAGGAACTGAGACGGCTCATCACCAGAGCGCCAGCCTTGACCAAGATGGGCCTTGAGCCACCTGGCTGGCCTGGGGACCCAAGCGCACCCGCCCTCAGCACCTTCAGTGTGAAGTCCGAGAGGAAGCCCTCCCGGGAGCTCCCGAATGAGAGGCCCTGGTGCGGGGCGGGGGAGCAGGAGCTCACAGACAAGCCTGGGTTCGCAGAGCCCCGCAGCTCACAGGCTGAACGGCTCTCCCTGAACGCGGTGAGCAGAACCTGCTCTGCAGGGCTAACTGCAAAGACTAAATGACAAACCCCGTCCCTCAGTGAGCACACGCTGGGACGCACAGACACTAACCAGGCCCTCAGCCCGTCTCCTCCCACGTGAAGGAGGAACTAGGTCAGGCCGGACGATACAAACCCTCACTCACATCTTCAGTCTCAGGGCAGAGACAGAGCTCCGTTTCCTGTGGGCAGAAGCGGGACCAACCCTGCAGGCGATACAATGAGAATGAATAGCCTGGCGATCAAGACCGGCTATGCCATCACCGTTTTTCCAAAATCAGAGCCAAAGGCATCTGAGTGCCAGGGAGCTCCTTCCTTTGAATGAGCCGAGCCAACATCTGCCACCCCAGCTGAAATCAGGACTTGACTGCGAGAACAAAGAAGCTTCCAGCACATTCAGAAAAAGACTGCTGCTGTGTCTGCTTCTTGGGAAGAGACGACAATCCCGAGCAATGCTTTCGGCTGAAGGCCTTTGTTGGCTCAGGGGAGAAAGTGGGAGAAACAGAGGCCTTCCGCCCCTCAGTGAGCCAGCTCCTTCACAGCCTGGAGAGTGTTTGCTCAGAACTCAGCAGAGCTATTAGCAACGGCCCACGGGCAGGAGCACCCGTGGTCTTCCTGGGCCCGCGACCTCCCGGGGCAGCCTTGGACACACTCCATGTTTACCCAGGGTGCAAGCTGAGCCTGCCTTCAGTGAGTCACTCCATAAGCCTTTGAAGGGTTACTACATTTATTCCTATAAGAGGCCAATCCAAAGCAGCAACAAAAGAACAGTTAAACACAAGAAAAAACACCTCCTTTGTGCTCCTCGAGAAAGACAGTCTTGGTCATTAAAGAGGTAAAGAGTTTTATTCTGTATAAACTTTCTCTTACAAAGATCAGCCCAGTAATTTTCCAAGAGGGGTTAGTAGTCTTCCACTCATACCTGCTTGACGATGAGGAGTCATCGAAATAGTGTACACACACAGTAAAAACCAGGTTGTCGGGCATTTGGTTCTGTGCCATGTGCTGTCGGAATTATTCTACTTATGAAATGCTTCAGAATTTGCCCCAGAATTTAGCATCTTAAGATCAAGATTTTATTTTCAACCTTTCTCTCCTCTGTTCTTTAGATGATTTCTATTGATCTATCTCCACGTACACCAACATTTTTTGTTGTTGTTGTTGTTAATCCTCACCTGAGGATATTTTTCCATTGATTTTTAGAGAAAGTGGAAGGGAGAAGGAGAGACAGAGAGAGAAACATCGATGTGAGAGACACACATCAACTGGTTGCCTCCCGCACGAGCCCCAACCAGAGCCGGGGATCAAGTCTGCAACCCAGGTACGTGTCCTTGACAGGAATCGAACCCAGGACCCTTCAGTCCATGGGTCAACACTCTATCCATTGAACCAAACTAGCTAGGGCCCAACTCTTTATTCTGTCCTCTCTATTGAGTTGTTAAGCACATTCAGTAAAAATTTTTAAATTTTAGTTTGGCTACTCTATTTTTCAGTTTTAGAATTTCCAATTGGTTCATATTTTTATAGTTTCTATTTCTTTGAATCATGCTATCTTTCATGCATTAAAAGGATATTTTCCTTTACATCCTTGAGCACAGTTATAATTGCTTTCAAATCCTTGTCTGCTAAACCCAACATCTGTGTCATCACATAGTCAATCTCTGTTAATTATCTTTTTCTCTTGAGAATTTTCCTGTGTGCCAGTGAGTCTGGATCCTGGCCGCTGTAAGTGCTATATTGTGGGAACTCAGCATTCTATTACTCTAAAAAACTGTTATGTTTGTTTTAGCAGGCAATTATCTTAGTTGGACCTTAACTGTAAATTCTTTAGGATGACCATTCAAATCTCAATACGATTATTTCATCCTTCTCTGAGCTGCGTGGTGCCTGACCCACGTGTGATTCAGGCCTCAGCAGGGATGCAGGCGGTTAGCACAGAGAACTTGGGGCTTGCTTTATCCTTTCCAGGATTACCTCCTTCACCTTCCAGTGGCTGTGGCTGCTTCAAACTGTCTTTCAGCCCTAACCGGTTTAGCTCAGTGGATAAAGCGTCGACCTGTGGACTCAAGGGTCCCAGGTTCGATTCCGGTCAAGGGCATGTACCTTGGCTGCAGGCACATCCCCAGTGGGAGGTGTGCAGGAGGCAGCTGATCGATGTTTCTTGCTCATCGATGTTTCTAACTCTCTATCTCTCTCCCTTCCTCTCTGTAAAAAATCAATAAAATATATTTAAAAAACAAAACAAAAAACTGTCTTTCATTCTTTAAACTAAAAGGTCTATAGGTTTTCCATCAGAGTTTTAACTGCCCTGCATCACACACACACACACACACACACACACACTGTGCCTTCTTCCGTGTGTCAATTCAACTCAGAATCTGCCGTTGGGTCACCTTAGAGTGTCTTCACTAAGCTGTCTTTTGTCCTGAGTTTATAATTAATTATTTGTGGGAAGATCACTCCGATAGTAGCTTACAGGGCCATTAACAAAAGCAGAACCTACAACTCAATCCCCTCCCCCCCCCCCCCCCCATTTTCACTTTTTCTCACAATGTTGTGGGCTGTGAAGTCAGGAAGAGCTTGCTGGGCAGCTACTTCTGATTCACGGGGCCTCAGCTGGCAACTAGGAAACCGAGATTAGTGACTTCCAAGTTGGAGTCTCGCTCACATGTCTGGTGCCTCGGCCCTAGAACTGATCTCTTTCTGCCTCCTCTCTGCATCTCCTCCTCCAGGGCTGGTCCACATGGACTTGGCAACTCTCGGCACAGTGACCACGGGGAATCTGCGCTCTGACATGGTGACGGCTTCTGTGAGGCAGGCACGGGGCCCGCCAGGCAGTGCGGGCCATCACAGAGATGGTGCTGGACCACTCCCACCATATTTTGTTGCTCAAAGTAGTCAAACAGCTCTAGTCATCCAAATTCAAGAGGATGGGGGAGTGGCAACGTCACATTGCAGGAATACACGCAGAATGATGGGTATTTGTGTGGCCATGTTTGAAAAATGGAACCTGCCACACATATATTCAGTATTTAATGAAGCAAAACAGATGCTACTTAAAGTGTTAGGAAGATACAGGCAGTAGTTCAACATGAAGCATGTGGTCTAATTCTCCTGCCATCATATTTACCACCTTCTCGTATTATTGATATAATTACCTCTAAGCTATTCAGCACAAAATAGGTTTCTAATGCAATCTACTGAGTTTCCAGAGATTTAATATTATATCCATTTCAAAACTCCTAGAAGAAATGCTTACGTTGCTATAATCCAAGACGTAGGGCACAGACATAAATTAAAATGTAGCTGTTTTTCTTAAGATAATGTCAGTAACTGCTGTTGCCTGGCCAGAGCAGCTCAGTGGTTGAGCGTCGCCCTGGCACTGAGAGGCTGCGGTTCGATTCCCGGTCAGGGCACATGCCGGGGTTGCGGGTCTGATCTCCAGTCGGGGAGCATATGGAAGGCAACTGATCAGTGCTTCTCTCTCACATCAATGTCTCTCCCCCCCTCCCTTCCTTTCCTCAGGTGAGGATTAAAAAAGTAATAACTACCGTTTATTGTGTCTACTATGTGTTAAACAATTTCTAGGTTTTTTAAATACCTGTTTTTATTGACTATTGTCTAAGGACATTAGGTTGTTTAAATGCATAGGCTTAGGACGAAGATCAACAATTTATAAGAAAGGAGACTGACTCAAACACACTAAGGACAAATACAATGCAAATTACAAAAATACAAACCCTAATACAAGTAATTATGGCATTTTATGTTTATCTGTGAGAATATATATACACACATATACATATCTCAAGCTACTTTCTAAGCACTGTAAGCTTTCATGCCAGAAAAGTGATTATTTTCTGATTTTAAATATTATATTCTAAATGAAGTCACATATGTCTTATACATAATAAGAAACAATCTTACCTTGTCTTGGTTATCTTTATTCTTGTAACACATATTTCCGATCAGACGAATGAGATGAGACCTAAAGCCCTCAGCCATGTTTTTGACGTCCCCTTCCGCTCTTATGCAAGCAGAGGTATTGAAGATGTCCGTGGTGTCGTTGGCAGTTACATGAATCAACCGTAAAAGATCTATAACAAAAACAACAAACTTCATTTTCCACAGAAACATTTTTAGTATGTTGTACTAGTTTTCCATAAATGAATCTAATTTATGTTAATGGATTAATATCAAATACAGGTTGAATACTGAAAGCTTCCTTTAAATAATGATTAACAGGCTCTTCTATTTTTGTTCTAAAATTTTTCATGAATGGTTTTGGGGACATAGGCCATGACGACCCCAACTTGGGCTGTCCATTTATCCACAAAGAAAAGTTAGCTAAACACTTTCCACCATCTTTCTTAGAAAAAGATTTCCAATTTCAACTTCTTTGTGGAAGAACGGCTGTGAGGCCCACTGTCAGCTGCGTCTAGAGACACCACCTGTCTGTGAGGAGCCACACACACACCCGGGAGCATGGGTGGCCCTCTGGCCAGGTGATCAGAAGGCGGCACCAGGCGCTGTTTTGGCTACATTGAGAAGAACTGATAATACTGCTACACTGTATGAGATGCCATAACAGCCTAGGAAAAGAAGCTGAATTTAAGTGTTTGAGCATTATCTCATTTAACCAGTTCAACAAACCTAGTAACACATTAAGCCCCCAGCCTGTTTTGTCTTCAGGACTGAAAGTATAGTGTCAGTCACCAGTGACTGACTGGGCACTTAACGTGTTAAAGGCAGTTGTCTCTTTCCCAATTTATAATGAAGGAATCAGGCTCAGAGAAGTTAGTAATTTCAGGGTTCAGATGGCAGCCTGTGCCTGCCCTGACTCCAAATGCATACTTTTCCACAATGACTAATTATCACTAAAAGCACTGAATTCAAAAATAAAACACCGATACGAGATTCTAACTATTGTCTACAGCTCACTGTGAACTTGTCTACCCATCTAGATGTAAATTCATTTTTCTTAGCATATGAGTCTCCAGAATAATTATAACTTTTCTAAAGAAAAACATAGCAGCCAGTGAATAGCAACACCATAAGCATGGCTAACCACAAGGAGCAGGTTCTACTTGAATTATTTTTTAAATAGTTTTTTAGCAAAGATGGTAATATTTCAAACACTGGCTTCTTGCTTAAAAACAATCCTATATAATATAATAAAAGCATAGTATGCAAACTGTCCCCTCGACCAGGGGGCGGGGCTGGCCAGGGGAAGGGAGAGAGGCCCCCCCGGCTGGCAGCCAGCAGCCGCTAGGGACCCTACCAGTGCATGAATTTTGTGCACTGGGCCTCTAGTTTTCTATAAAAATCAAAGACACAATAACTACGTGTAAGGCACTATTCTTCGCGTCCCATAAATGTGACTAGGAAAATTTTTACTAACAAATTTGGTAAAACTACAGTGATATTAAAAATGCTATCATCATTGAAACCGTGCCCCCTCACCATCGCAGGCCCTGGTGATGAAACACTCCCAGGAGCACCATGCGGCAGGCACTGGGACCCTCACATGCTGATGAGGCAGCTTGAGTCAAACAGCAGGGCAGGGGGAACAGCCTGAGCTGTTACCAAAACACCACAGTTCCTCCTAAGAAAAAATATTCCCCCAAATCTCAAAAACATAACAATACCCTGAAAATTACAGATCCGTGTTTGAACTTAGAGTATGAAAGTCAGAGAGTTCTCGATGAAAAACAACAGCGTGTGCTGGCTCACTCACCAACGGCTCTCTCCAGCAAGCCCGGGTACCCCTGCAGGTGGCTGAGCAGGTCGGTGTTGGCGGTCATCTCACACAGGACGTCAAGGAGCCTAATTGTAGCCAGGGCCTCGTGAGAAGAGAAGGAAACATACGTTTTTAAATCAAACTAAATTATTTGACTGCTTTAAATAGCTGTGAGAGAATGAACTACCACAGTAAGTATTAAAGAGTCAGTGCTTCTCACACATCTATAGAGAGAAACAACTACCAAAACCAGAACAGAAGTATCAGAAATGGCCGGGAACGACCAGCTGCGCTAGCAGACACCACCATCGAGAAGGCAAGATTATGTGTCTTATCGGAGCAAAGAACCAGAGAAGTTCTCATCCAAGCAAAAATACCTTCCAGCAGTGGAATGAGTGTTCAAAATTACTAGCTACGCACATAACATTTATGCAGATACTTTCTTTTTAAAGCGTTCCCAGCAAGCAAGTTCACTTTACAGATACAAATACACCATGAACTACATTGATTTCGTGTCCACAGGAATCCTGTAAAATGCTGTGGTGCAGAGCATTGGCAACAAGAATCTGCATTATTTCTGGATAAATATAAACCTATATACAATATCTTGGTAAGCTGGAAAATATGTTATTTGGGCTAGTTCACATAGCTACTAAAGAGTTTATTACCAAATAGACTACATGCCCAAGAAAATACCAACTACCAATGGCATGGTACTAGGGAGTCAAAATAAAATCTTTTAAAAATATATATATATTTCTATTGATTTCAGAGAGGAAGGGAGAGGGAGAGATAGAAACATCAATGGTGAAAAAGAATCATTAATTGGCTGCCTCCTATATGCCCTACATTAGGGATCGAGCTGGCAACCCAGGCATGTGCCCTGACCAGGAATCTAACCACGACTCCTGGTTCATAGGTCAATGTTCAACCACTGAACCACACCAGCTGGGACAAAATAAAATCTTAAAATGCAATTTTTGTACAGATTTTGAACCTCATTTTTAAAGTACACATTAGCTGGCAAACTGTGGTAGATGCTATAAATTTAGGTCATAAAGATAACACTCTTCAAAAGAAAAATATCTTCTTTTTGTTAATTCTAACTGCATTTACTATTTTGTAATTTGGAGATTTAAAATACTATTTTAGTGTTGCAATCTCAAAATAAACAGCAAGAAACACACATTTTTAATGCCTTGCATTTTAATTTTATTTCATAGCTTCAATTGCTGGTTAAAGAGTTAGAGGGAAATCCTATATAATAAAGAGGTAATATGCAAATTGACAGTCATGCCCTCACAAGATGGCTGTCTACAACCAGGCCAGCAGAGGGGTTAGTGAGGGACGACCAAACGACTGAACAAGCAGGCTGCGTGGGCCAACCAGGCCGGCAGGGGCGTTAGTGAGGGATGACCAAACAACTGAACAACAGGCAGCGGGGGGTGACCAGGCCAGCGGGGGGGCTGTGAAGGGCGACCGGGCTGAAGTTGGGGGGCGACCAGGCTGGCAGAGGGGCAAGTTAGGGGCAACCAGGCCAGCAGAGGGGGCTTTTGAGGGCAAAAGAGGCCCCAGTAGGAAGCGCACATTAGGACATCAGGAAGAATCATGCTGCAGATGATGGAGAACAAATCAAGTAAGTCTAAAGCCATGACTGCATAATAATTAAAACAAAACAAGGCACTTGTCATCTCTGGATGATATCACAAAATCAACTCCTTACTCTGAATACTGGTAATCAAGGAGGGGAAAACAAAATGTATCTTATATAACCTATTAGCTGATTAGGGGAAGATATCTTTAGAAAATATTATAGTTAATAAATGAAAAATGAATGATATTTCACAGCCCCTAACAACTGATGGATCTAGGTCAGTGACGGCGAACCTTTTGAGCTCGGCGTGTCAGCATTTTGAAAAACCCTAACTTAACTCTGGTGCCGTGTCACATATAGAAATTTTTTATATTTGCAACCATAGTAAAACAAAGACTTACATTTGATATTTATTTTATATATTTAAATGCCATTTAACAAAGAAAAATTAACCAAAAAAATGAGTTTGCATGTCACCTCTGACGCGTGTCACAGGCCTGCCATCACTGCTCTGGGTGATAACCATAACACCTGCTAGCACCACAAAAGAGACACCAGGCATTATGAGCCTCTTGATGAATGAATGTGTCAACAGAGATGAAACGACTAAAAAAAAATCACAGCGAAAAACTAACCGGAATCTGAATATGCATTTAGAACTAATTACCATTCACAAGAAAGTCAAGGAAAAGAAGGCCATGTTAACACCACCATGGAGATCCGCTCATCCAAATCCAAACTGTAGAAAACGCCACAGGTCAAACAAGCCAAATTCTTCAACAAACAACTAGCACAGGAAAGAGAAGGAAGAGGGATGGGGCGGGGGTAACCTATACACTAGTAGGAAGGGAGATCTGAGACCTATCAACCAATTGCAATGTATGGCCCTTATTTGTATCCCAAATCAAAGAAATAAATTGGGGGGGGGGGAGTAGACAATGGGGGTAATGTAAATACTGTTTGATACTAAAATTTAAAAATTTTAAATGTGCTAATTGTCCTTCACTTATGTGTGAAGACTCCTTATCTTTCAGAGATACATATAAAATTAACGGATGGCCCTGGCCAGTGCTCAGCAGCTAGAGCATCGGCCCGAGGACCAAATGGTCTCCGGTTCGATTCCTGGTCAAGGGCATGTATCTCGGAAGTATGCAAGAATATACCAAAAGACAGAAATAGGTATATTAACATCATAATCTAAGACCATTTATATAAAGGAAGAGATATGGATAAAACCTCAGGATCTTAAAGCCGAATGAATACATAAATTAAAAACCAGATGCTATAAAAATGATTGCCTCTTTCTGATTTTTCAGACATAGTATTATGAGCACATTACTGGTTATCTTGTCCTAAAAATATCACAGATGGGTAAATGCAGTGGTTTGCTGGTAAAGTGGCCGATTTCCGCGCTATAGATACTCCACAACGGCCGCTTTCAAGCTACTGAGAGTTTAACAATCAGCTCACAAACTCCTGACTCTCAGGCATCAGTGGAGACGACACCAGGATGTATAAATACTGAGGCAAGGGGTCTTGTGAAAAATGACCATAGCTTTTTAAACTTGTAAGTGACAGGATAACGTATATACACTAATATGCACAAGTCGTGCATGTATATAGATCAATGAATTATCAAAAAGTAAACTACTGGGGTTTTTCAAAAGGAAACTGTCCACAATTTTCTATCACTTAATATGTAATAATTTCTCCCACCTTAGAGAAAAGCCTCTTTGGAGGAGAAATGTAAAATTTCCTAAATATAGTTCCATCAGGTCACTGATGATAATACTGAACTCATCTATACTATGAATATAAGAGCCGTGAGAACATTTACAGCTGGATTTCACCAGCACTAAGCTTTCCCTCCCTTCTGTTCTGGAGAATTCATTTAACCTCCTAGAAGCTCAGCTCACTGCTCCTCCTGCTGGAAACACGCAACTCTGTCTTCACGAAGGACAGGCAAACCCGTGAGTGAGGGCGTTCTCTTTCTCCTCCTCTGTCACAGCAAACGGCAACGCAAATATTGGCTTTATCAGCGAGACCTCACATGGCCGGCATGAGCATCACTAGCAAAGTAACCCCGAGGAAAAGCACAGGCACCCAGAACGAAGCACGCCTTTGTGGCAGGAGCGTCGTAACCACGCCTGCATGTGTGGCAGGAGTGCGCAGGCTCGCAGATCAGAGTCTCCAGATGCAATGGAGCAGTGACCACACACCCCTTCCCATCTGGAGAAAGAGGATGGTCCCACCAAAGGGCAAGCCCTCACCTATTCCTCCGCCTATCTGCCAAAGTGATTCTCTCTCTTCATCATTCCTATCAGCACACAAAGGACCCATTATTGTGTTTCTGAACATGCTGATTAAATCAACTTCACTGAGGTAGAAGTTACATGCAATAAAATACATGCTCTTAAGTCTACGGTACTGAGTGGCGTGAATGTACACAGCTATGTATAATATTTCTATTGCCCATGACATTCCCACGTGCCCTCCGCAGCCAACCCCACCTATCCACTGGCAGCCCGGGGACAGCTGAGCTGCCTCACCGTGAGTGGTAAGCGGTGTGCTGTGGTGCTTGAGGTGGAATCAGACTACACTCTCTAGCCTGCCTGGCTTCTTTCATCGCTGCGTGTGAGATTCATCTCTGTTCTTGTCTCAGAAATGTATTTCTTTATACTGCTGAATAGAATTCCAGAGAAAATCCAATTCCAACTTTAAGACCAAAGGAAAAAGAAATAAAATAAAGAGAATTTCTAAAGCGAAGAGGAGGGAAACAGGATGTGAGCTAGTTTAGCAAAGGAAAGGCCGGGATGACGTAGGGTAGAGCTTGGGAGAGTAAAAATGTCTGAAGGAGCCCACCAGGTGTGGGTGAACGGGCATCTCCCGCCATGTCAGAAGAAACAAACTCTGGAAGGCAATTTGCAAATGTGCATCCTAAGCTTCACAACGGGATCAACCCTTCCGCCCAGCAGGCCACCTCTGGGCCTGCGCCTGGGTTAACAAGCATGGAAGTGTACAAAGATGCTGCTATAGAGACACAGTCTACAGCACTCTTCAGAACCAACGCAAACAGGGACACCTCAATGTCCAGCTCCCTGTAGCTGCACAAATAAATGATGATAAATTCTTTACTTAGAGTGCTACACTGGCACTGTAAAAAGCCATTAACAAACTACTGTTCATTCATTCAGAAAATATTTGCTAAGTGCCCACTATGTACATAGTACTACAAACGTAGTCAAAACTTCTGTGCGCATGGAGCTTACATTCAGAACAACAGGAATTTACAAAAAGATGGCACAGAATCATTTCATTTTTAATGTGTGTGTGCACATGTGTACATATGCATGTGTCTATTTGATGTTATCTGCCTAGATAAATATATTAACTAGAATTGTTGTCATTAACTTTGAATGGTTGTGAATAACAATATTGTTTTCCCTTACCTGTATTTTCTTAACTGTTCTAAAATAAGGACACAGTCTTAGTCTATTTAAACTGCTCTAACAAAAACAGCATAATCCTATCTAATAAAAGAGAAACATGGTAATTGGCGTATGACCGCTACCCTTCCCATTGGCTAATCAGGGCAATATGCAAATTAACTGCCAGCCAAGATGGCGGCCAGCAGCCAGGCAGCTTGAAACTAACATGAGGCTTGCTTGCTTCAGTGACCGAGGACTCCAACGTTCCCCGCCTGCCGCTACAGGCCTCTGAGCTGCAAGCAACTATGTAACAAACATAGAAGCTAAACAAAACCCCAGAAACCTGCCGGGCTTCAGCCAGCAGGATCGCAACATTGTAAGCAAAGGCCAGAAACCTACTTTCAGCAGCGGAGGACTAAGAGCTGGAGCCAAGCCTCAAAGCTAAAGCTGGCCCAGAATAAAAAAAAAAAAAGAAAAGAAAAGAAAAAAAGGAGTGGTTGGGAGCTTCAGTCACCCCCAGCTTGAAAACAGCCCTCAGCTCCTCACCCAGACTGGCCAGGCACCCCAGTGGGGACCTCCACCCTGAAGGGTGTGTGACCAGCTGCAAACAGCCATCATCCCCTCACCCAGGCTGGCCAGGCACCCCAGTGGGGACCCCCACCCTGATCCGGGACACCCTTCAGGGCAAACCAGCCAGCACCCACCCATGCACCAGGCCTCTACCCTATATAGTAAAAGGGTAATATGCCTCCCAGCACCGGGATCAGTGGAGCCGCGAGGCCTCCCGGCACCGGGATCAGCGTGACAGGGGGCAGAGCCCAAACCCCCTGATTGCCCTGCGGCTCTGTGTGTGACAGGGTGCAGCGCCCCAACCCCCTGATCAGCCCTGCTCTGTGTGTGACAGGGTGCAGCGCCCCAACCCTCCCCCCCCCCACAACGGGCCCTGCTCTGTGTGTGACGGGGTAGAGCCATAACCTCCCCATCGGCCCTGCCCTGAGTATGAGAGTGGCGGCACCCCATCCCCCGGATCGGCCCTGCTCTGTGGGTGACAGGGTACAGAGCCCCAACCCCCCTGATGGGCCCTGCTCTGTGAGTGACAGGGGGAAATGCCCCAACCCCCTGATTGGCCCTGTTCAGTGCATGACGGGGTGGCGCCGCAACCTCCCCATCGATCCTGCCTTGAGTGTGACAGGGATGGTGCCCCAACCCCCCAATTGGCCCTACCCTGAGCGTGACTTAGGGTGGAATCACAACCTCCCGATCGCCCTGCTCTGTGTATGATGGGGGCGGCGCCCCAACTCCCCAATCGGCCCTGCTCTGAGCCCGACCGGGGGCTGCACCTAGGGATTGGGCCTGCCCTCTGCCACCGGGAGCAGGCCTAAGCCAGCAGGTCATTATCTCCCGAGGAGTCCCAGACTGCGAGAGCGCACAGGCCGGGCTGAGGGACCCCCCTCCCCCACCCCCCCCCGAGTGCACAAATTTTTGTGCACCGGGCTTCTAGTCTTTATATAAAAGGCTAAGTGACTGGCTGGTACCTATAACATGCAGACCACGAGAGGGCAGACACTCAATGCAGGAGCTGCCGAGCTGCAGTGACTTGGCAGTGGCGGTTCTTGGGTGATGCACCCCGGGAACCAGAGAGGAGGGAGCCCGATTCCTCTTGGGGCCGTGTGATTCCACCTTATCCTGTGGGTTATGTTGTTGCTGGGGCATTGTCACCCCAAATCTGGTTTACTGCACACTTGCATTTACATTCCACCCTGTATGACAGCAACTTTGCAGAGTGCCCTCTTGCACTCCAGGACCCCTTGGGGGATGTCTGAGAGCCGGTTTCAGCCCGATCCCCTCGGCCCAGGCCAAGAGACCCCACCTGCCAGAGGGACCCCGCTCACTCCGCAGACGACCTTCAAGCCGCCCCAGGTGAGGCCAGCCAGGAGGGACCGTGGGACCACCCAGGACCGCCTGCATTAGTCCCTGCACTGGAGCCAGCGCCACGAGCCGAGCGTGAGTTTTCTTACCCCCTCCTGCCTGCCCTGCCCAGACACCCTTCAAGCCTCTGTACCGTCCCAGGAATTCTAATTAATTTCCTTTCAATGTGCACGAATCTGTGCACTGGACCATTAATATGGCTTATAAACAAGGGAAATTATTTCTTGTAGTTCTGGAGTTTGTACGTTCAAGATCAGGTGCTGGCGTGGCTGGTTTGGGGAGGAAGTCTTGCGGGTTGCAGACTGCTGGCTTCTTGCTATGCCCTCACGTGGTGGGAGGGGCGAGGGATCTTTCTGGGGCACTAACCCTATTCATAAGGGCTCCACCATGACCTGATCACGTGCCAAAAGTCCCACCTCCTAACACTATCAACTCTGTCATTAGGTTTCCAACATATGAAGGGGGAGGAGAGAGACATCTGACTGCCGCGATACTTATGTAATCTTTCTGAAAAGCTTGTAAAAAGAATTCTCATAGAGGACCTCGTGGAGTTGGGAAGTCTGTCTTCTCACCTCGTCGTCATCATGCTGCCCGGCAGTCAGTTTCAGCACAACCCTGCACTGGTCCACGAAGGTGCTGGCGATGAGCTCGGCGTGGCCCAGGAGCGCCGTCGTGTCATCCTTGGTCAGAGGCTCCTCGCCCACCATCTTGGCTATTAGAACGTCCAAGAGTGTGACCCTGGGAAGCAGAGACTTTACAGGAACGTGTACTACGGGGACGCCACAGCGCTAGAAATGTCTAGAGACCACTGTAAGAGAACATGTTTACTCTCTAACTTCCTCACTTTGCTTATAATGTCTAGCTGGGGAAACAGGATTTGAGAATAAAATTAACCCTCATCAATCAACTGTTTTTTAAAAATCTTAATTTCTTTGATATGGCGAGGCTACAGAAAAAAAGCACCTTTTATATTGTTACTTTGAGCACTAAAATAATTCAAACTTCAGAAATGCTGCCAGTTTTCTAATATATCAACAATAATAACAATAGCAAAGTAAAATGGGCAATATTCACTACTTATTTTTTTTATTTTTTCAGGAAATATATACTTAATCATTCTCTGAGTGATCAGAACTATAAAATCAACATTCACTACTTACTAGAGCGAAGCGCTTTCCACCCATTTTCTCATTTGGTGCACACAGAACTGGGAGGCTGGTGCTCCACCTCACACCAGGGTGGTGAGAGGCTTATGCAGGCTGCCTGCCCAGGGCCACCCACCTGAGAGCCACGGCTCTCCCGCTCCTGGATCGGGTGCCTTAGCTGCTCATTTTACTATCTTTCTTGGGAAGGTAGGCTTTTTTGTTTGTTTCATCATTTGAGTTTACAAAAACATAAATCTGAAACGCAACCTATGCCATTTTTTACATCAATATTTAAATTATCAATAAATATTTTTATTCAACAACCTTTTTCCTTTTCCTAGAAAAAAACAAATCATATACAGGGCAACCTATCCAGCATAAACGAAGTATGTTCCTCAGAATCCTATTCTGACCTGCGATTATATGTACAAGTCTTTGTTTCTACACCAGGGAGGGGCCCCGCTTCCTTTCATCAAATGTATCACAAAGTTTGCTGGCATCATTAAATTGCTTCCATGTGTGTATATGTGCAATTCAGAGGGCATAAGGAGCAAAAATACAAATCTCAAGCCAGAATATTTATGGTTGATGTTTCTGGAAAACAAAGTTCGCAGCAGCTAGAAATCTGGCTGAGGCCGTATAACTACGTGCAATCTGAAGCACAAGACGCACCTCCAGCAACATCTGCCTCCCAGTGGAACGGAGGAGTAGGCTCTCATTCAGGTCTTCATTCATTCACTGAGCTGGCATCTAAACCACCATACTCGACACGCCAACGTTAGAAAATACACGGTATTCAGGGGAAATAAGCCACCGCTGAGGGAATGATCATCTTGTCGTAAAGGGATTCACTTTAAATGTCCTCGTACAGTGTACTGTCGGGTGCCTTTTACGTTTGTACATACAACACAGACGTTACCCTACCCAATGGCCTTCCGTAGGCGGCACAGGGCAGTGTTATTAAGACAGGCTCCAGAGCCAGGCTGCCGTCCACCGCAGGGAGGCCTGGGCCAGCCACTACCCTCTCCCTCCGTGTGTGCACCTGCCACACAGGACGACAGGAGTGCCAGCTGCCGAGGCTGACAGTGACTGAGCTGCCCCTGTGGCGCTTGGGACAGCGCCTGACTCACCGAACAAGAGCTGTGGACAAGTTTGTAGGAGCAAAAACTGTCGATGCTTTCACTGACAATGTATTCATAGCAAAAGCAATGACTACCCATAATGCCAAGTGCAGAGGAGAGGGGAGGGTGGCTCTTAGTGACATTTGTAGAGTTAGGATGTGGCCAACTAGATGTTAAATTTCTGACACATCTTCTTGTAGAAAATAAGCACTTTGAAAAGAGCAAGGTCCCCTCCCAGACGCCACCTGCCGCCTCGCTGTGCCTGGAAGACTGTAACTCGGTATCGCTCGCAGTGGCCAATGCGACCTGGAAGTGGAGGCGGCCCCACGGGATAGGCTGCCCTGTGAGGATGCCAGGGCTCGCACACCCTAACCAGCTGCTAAAGACCCTTCGGTGCGTAAGGAAACCCCTCAGCCGCGCATGCTTCCATGCAAAAAACCCTGTTTTGCACCTGTTCTGTGCCCGGGCAACGTGGACACCGCAGAATAGGAAAGACCAAACCCTTCCCGCACACAGCACCTGACGGGAGTGCCGAGCAGCAGCAGGCAGGCACGTGGCACAGTCCGCTGTATGACAGGTTATGTAACGGCACACGGGCCAATGTCTGCTAAGTTCTGTGTGTGAGGAGGGGCTGGCACTCCTCCTGGGAAGGAGAATGCAGGAGGCGGAGGAGGAGATCACGCGTGAGCAGAAAACTCCCATGAAGGAGGGAAGCAGCGGCCACCACTGGTTTATAAATAAAAATGGAAACTATTGTCTGCCATCCTCATTTGCTTAATGATTAGTTGAAAAACAGATCACTTGATAGCAATGCAGAAAATACAAACATGAGTATTAAATCACAATTCACTATGTATTCATGTACTCGTGTGTTCCTTACTGCGAAGCAATGACTAATTTCTACCAGTGCTCATCAAGTTACTTATTTTAGGTTAAAAAAAAAACAACTACAAATAATTCTCTTTCAGGAATAAACGTATACATATGTGGCAGTAGCAGGGGTCATGGATTTATAAACATGGCATTTAAACTTACTTTATAAGCATGAACTTTTCTTTTTTGTTAGCGATATTAAAGAAAAATCAGTACTTAGCACGACTACGAAGGAGTGCATAAAGCTTAACGTTAGATCCAAACATACAGGCAAAATTTCAAAACCACAGCAATTATAAAAATTGTGACTACAATCAAAAGAGTAACATTTTTAAAGTTCTTAACCATTATATCAGTTTCTGATCATCAGATTTCTGAGTAAGTTTTATTTTCCTAAGACAACATTTCCAATAAGGTTTGGAAAAACACATCCTATTGGAATGGAAAGAGAACTGTGAATCATTTTGTTTAATCCTCTAATTTTATAGGTCAGGAAACGGAATCCAAACACGATAAAGACCTGACCACAGTCACACACAGAATTCCTATCGCCAGGCGGGCAGGGAGCCGGCTCGCTCTCAGGGCACTCACTGCTCTGCCCGCTGCAACAGCGGGGAGGTCCCCGCCGGGCACCCATTTTCCGTGGGTCTGAATTACCTGTCGGAAACTACCGCCTGGGAGCTATATCCCAAACTAGCCTATCAGCGAGGTGGACAGATGCGCACTCTACACACACACAGCAGGAATATCTAGCTGCAGGAATGACTAGATAAAGTCACGGCACAAGCACATTTTGCTCCTGGCGTTTTTGAATGTGGCTTCGCTGGACAATGGCGCCAACCTGGATTCTGCAGCCCTGCGCTAACCACTGCCTGTTGTGGCGAAGCTGTAATGTTAACCAACCAATTTCAAACCATTACTGACACAGAAACATGTATTTAGAGATTCTGTGCCAACTAAGAAACCACACAGCTTTCAGTCATGTGTACAGGATACCCTATATGGAATGCTAAATACTCAAAACCACACTGGTTTTTGGGGTTACCTTTCTTGATTGCTCATTTTGGCATACATAGCTCTCACCAATTCCGGACTTTTCAGAAAATGGTCTGTAATAATCAAGAACCTAAGGAAAAAAGGAAAAAGAAGTTTGGTTACTAGAAACACAGTCAAACAGACATGGCCTTATCAACTTTATAGGCGTATCTTACACATAAAAGCATCCTTTTAATTGAATTCTTGATTAGCTGTAATCTTAAAATGTTTTAAGAGGTTCACATATTCAATATTTTCTATTAGCAGCTAGAGGAAAATTAAAGCTCTCACAATATTTCTCTCCAATCTTATTTCTGAAACATTTACTGAAATGATTCCGCTTTACCCAGCTCCAAGAAAGGGCCTGCTATCGCATTCGGCAAAGCTGGGAAAGGAAAACACTTCACTGGAGTCTAAACAGCAGAATGGAATTTAGCTGCAAGCTCAGGAATAAACGGAAACACTTTCGCTGGCTTAGTCAGAAGCTTGGTGCGAACATGACCCGAGAAAGAGAACATCCTACTGTTTCTCATGGGAACATCTGCCAACCACAGAGCAGTGAACGCTGGCCTGAGTATCTCCTCTGTAAAGCTCTCACGTTACCAAGAAAACCTCCTCACTGTCAGGCAGCGCAGCATCCAAACTTAGAGATCAACTGCGCGAACCCCCAGGCACAGATTATGAGCATATTCTTCAAAGTGCCCCTGTGACAGCTGGAAGATTGAACGGTTTATTAATGAGTTCTGCATCTATTTACCAGAGGGCATCTGAAGACTTAAGAACTAAAGAACACGCTGTTCATTCCAAGTTTAGAGTAATCGAAGTGGCTATTAAAAAGCCAATATATGTACAGTCATAGCTTATTTAATTACTTCTTAACAAATAAAAGTATGGCTTTCAGAATGATAACAGGATGAAGCACATTAGCTACCACAATGCTGTCACTTCACATAAAAACGAAACCTAAATCCCTCCTCCACTTCATCCACATCTACACACAGCAATGGCGATGGAATGCTCTTCTAGTGACTCGAAAATGGTCGTTTAAGTGGCTATCAGTTATGCAGAAGTTTTTATGTGGTAGAGGCTTAGATTATTTTTCTAAATATAATACATACACTCTCCACTCCAGGGTGCTGCATAAATTCTCAATTTTTAGTAAAAATTCACTGCATTTACTTTCTTACCAAATATCGACTCGAGAAACCACAGGTGAAAACTTTCACAACAAAAAGACCCAATCACACTCCACATTTGCTAAGTTACACACTTTAATTTGTGATTAATATTTTTGCAGAACTATTTCTGTCAACTCAGAAATTCAGTGGTAATTCTGTAGGAGGGAGGCAGGGTCTCACTAATCTACAACCCAAAATGTGCAAGGACATCTAGAGACGGTCAGGAAAACTCCAGTAGCTCTCCAAGTCTATGGAGAGTGGGACAGACTGCCCGGGGGAGGGTCAAAAACACATCCTATCCAAGAGGCAGAAGTCGGAGCGGAAGGGGCACAGAGAAGTACATCTTTATTTCACAGAAAGAAAAAGCTAGAAATGGGATCCTGTCCTCGCTCCTGAGTGCTCCCTTCAGTTCCGCTGCAGGCGCTTTGGGGGGCCTGGTTTCCCTCCCACCAATTACTCTCAGCCTCTGGGGCCAGAGTGGACCTGCCCCAGGCAGTTGGAGGCAGAGCTCAGTTTAATAGGGAAATTCCTCACTTAAATGTAATTACAGAACAGCCAGTGTTCACAAAGCAAGTTGTTGATGGTAAAGCACTGACCACAGTTTTACAAGTTTCCACACTGGCTAAAAGCCAAAGTGCATGAAGGTCCCTCTTCTCTTCTCTCTTCTCTCTTCTCTCTTCTCTCTTCTCTCTTCTCCTCCCCTCCCCTCCCCTCCCCTCCCTCCCCTCCCCTCCCTCCTCTCCTCTCTCTCTCTCTCTCTCTCTCTCTCTCTCTCTCTCTCTCTCTCTCTCTCTCTCTCTCGTTTATAATTGGTTTTGAAGAGATTAACAAAGAGATTAACATGATCTGCATCCCCGTGTCTCTTCCACCAGGCAGAAGGTGGTAAAAGCCATCTGCCTCAGGGAGCACAGGGAAAGGCCCATGAACAGTGACTATGTCTTTGGGAAGCAGGTAACCCTAAAGTCAGCGTTGGAGGGAAATTTTCTAAAAGTGAGGGCCACTTATCGCCATTTCCATACACAAGTCTACAATGTCAAAGCTTATTTGTAACAGAAATAAAATCTATTTCATTGACTGCAAACACCTAGAAAATGTTTTCACAGCTCATTGGTTGAATAAAGAACCTGATTTAAACACGCTCTTGAAAACGAATGCCACCCTCCTGTTTGCTTTGAGATCTGGGAACCCCACCCACAGCGGCTAATACAGCGACCTGGGCAAAGCTGCCCGCGCTGCACAGCCAACAGCCTCCTGCTCCTGTGGGTGACATTTCCGGGCTCCAGGAAGCACCAGGCACACGGCCATCCACCAGCCCGATGACCCCAAGGCCATGCTCCACTGCAAAGCCGTGAGCTACCATCTCTGAGAAAGTCTGACACCAGCTGGATCCCGGGTGCTGCCCGGGCCAGGCCAGTGAACTGCCTTCTTACACGCGCGTTTCTGCCCCCCTTCCTCTCCCGCCCCTCGAGAGAAGCGCAGACACCTGAGGCGTAGAGAGAGAGCTGGGCCAGGGTCTCAGTCCTAACCCGCTGGCAGCGGACGCTGGACACGGTGCCCACCCTCTCAGCACCACGGTGTCCTGCTTCTCCAGTTTCTAGTAATAACATCAGAATGCAACGCCAACCGAATAAGAGAAATTAAGTAATATTTAACTTCGAAAGCAGTACAGACAATTAAAATGATTCACTCATTCATCAAACATTGACTGAGTTCTTGTAGATGTCTGCCATTTTTTCCTAATATCCCTTTCACCTTCTTCAAATAACAGGAACTCTTCCTTTCAAGAAAGAGCCCACACCTGCCAGCTGGGCTCAGTCACGCAGCTCGGAAAGCTCCACCCAGAGTGAACTCGGGACCCCGGCCTGGGAAAAAGGCTGACCCAGGGAGAGAACATGAGCCTGGAAGGACCACTCGCACACCTCACATACCACACAGATCAGTGGGCTAACCTGCTCCTGTAGAAACCTCTGTAATTCCCAAACTTCGCAGTACGTGTGCTAGCCAATGTTGACAAAGAAAATTTTTACTTACATCCTAAAGTATTCCAACTTTCACAAAAAGATGTGCACACAAACATCCCAAGTTGCATTCTACATGCGACTCCAGGTCGGAGCTGCGTGTAGACACCTTGAGAAGCACCCCAAACTCCGGCGCAGTGGGAACAGCGGCACACGCACTGGGGACCACACTTCCGCGCTCGTGCACTGCAGGCTCTGGCTCTCACCGCAGCCCCTGAGCTTCGCCGGCACAGGGCTCCCGGGAAGGCCCGCCCGGACCTCTGGGAGTCTCTCAACAAAGGCATGGGAACCAGACAAGCCCAAGGCAACTGGAGGCCAAGGACACCACCATCACCCAACTCATTCAACAAATACGACACAGCAGACACTTTTCCCATAAAGGGCCTACTACTAAATATTTGAGACTACGGGGCCCAACTCTCTGCCACTTGGTCTGTCATGGTAGCATGAAAGCAGCCAGAGACAATAAATACATAACTAATGAGTATGGCTGTGTACCGATAAAAATCCTATATAATAAAGGGGTAATATGCAAATTGGCCATCACTCCAACACACAAGATGGCCGGCAGGGGAGGGCAGTTGTGGGTGACCAGGCCAGCAGGGGAGGGCAGTTGGGGGGACCAGGCCTGCAGGGGAGGGCAGTTGGGAGGGACAAGGCCTGCAGGGGAGGGCAGTTGGGAGGGGGGTGAGTACCAGGCCAGCAGGGGAGGGCAGTTGGGAGGGACAAGGCCTGCAGGGGACGTCAGTTGGGAGCGGGGGGGAGGGGGGGGGGGTAGTACCAGGCCTGCAGGGGAGGGCAGTTGTGGGCAATCAGGCCTGCAAGGGAGGGCAGTTAGGGGTGACCAGGCTGGCAGGGGGGGGGCAGTTAGGGGCTTCGGGCCGGCAGGGGAGCAGTTAGGCATCGATCAGGCTGTTAGGGGAGTGGTTAGGGGATGATCAGGCTGGCAGGCAGAAGCAGTTAGGGGCAATCAGGCAGGCAGGCAGGCAGGCAGGCAAGCAGTTAGGAGTCAGCAGTCCTGGATTGTGAGAGGGGTCCCAGATTGGAGAGGGTGCAGGCTGGGCTGAGAAACACTCCCTGCCCCCCCCACACACACACACACACACACAGTGCACGAATTTCATGCACTGGGCCTCTAGTGTATTTATAAAAGCAGGCTGTGGCACTCCACACAGAGGAAGAGCATTCCACACAGAGGAGGTGCACTCCACGCAGAGGAGCAGCACGCTACACAGAGGAGGAGCCCTCCACGCAGAGGAGGAGCACGCCACACAGGGGAGGAGCCCTCCACACAGAGAAGCACTCCACGCAGAGGAGCACTCCACGCAGAGGAGGTGCACTCCACGCAGAGGAGGAGCCCTCCACACAGAGGAGCAGCACGCCACGAAGAGGAGGAGCCCTCCATGCAGAGGAGGATCACACCACACAGAGGAGCAGCATGCCATGCAGAGGAGCACTCCACACAGAGGAGCACTCCACGCAGAAGAGCAGTATACCACACAGAGGAGCAGCACACCAGACAGAGAAGCAGCACTCCACGCAGAGCACTCCACCCAGAGGAGCACTCCATGCAGAAGAGCAGTATGCCACACAGAGGAGCAGCTCGCCACACAAAGGAGCACTCCACACAGAGGAGGAGCACTCCACACAGAAGGGAGGACAGGTGTCAAGATTCAGGAGAGAACAAACTCGGGCAATTCACAGCAAAGCAGCGAGAGCAGTGGGAAGTAAGGAGCAGGGAGATAAGTAATGGTCAGAAGTAAAATGAGCTCAGTCAGGAGCCAGGACATGACAATTACTTCAAATTGGCTCCTTGGTGCTGGGGGAAGCGCCCAGAGGGTCTATTTAAGCAAGCAAGTGGCAAGATCTACAGCACATTTACGCACTGTGCGGTGACTAGGAGGGCAGAAAGGTGAGCGAGCAGTTCCCGCAGTCGTCTGTCTCCGGGAGATGCTGCCTCAAGCTGTCGCGGCAGAGAGGGTGTGAAGCAGGTGACCTTGGAGCACGGCTGGCAGACAGGGCTGATGCGTGCAAGCGGAGAGAGGAAGAGACGCAAGACCAACTCTCAGGTTCGGGTGAGCAGGGTCCGGGCCTCAGCACGAGGTGAAAGGTGAGGTGGCCACTGAACCAGTGAGGACGGGAGCAACGGCAGGCTCCGGGGGGACTGAGGGCTTCCTGAGTGTGAGGCCTCGGTTACAAGCGCGCCGGGGAAGGTGCACACACAGGTCTGGAGCTCTGGCCAGAGGTCAAGGCCAGACACGTCCATTTGGAAATCATCAACTTAGAAAGGAATCTTAGCTGTGGAACTAGGGAAGGTCGCCCAGGAATGAGCAATGACAGGGAAGGCGGCTGAAGATGGGCCACGGGCCATGCCATCTTCGGGCAGATAAAGAACAGGCGCTAACAACGCAGGCGGCAACGGTGCCTGAGTGAAAGCAGCGCAGGAGGAAGAGGAGACACAGCGAGCCAGTACTGATGGGCCTGGCCGCCCCTGCACCCACTGTGCCTACAAATCCAGTACCTCCAGGACGGCTTGTAGGCCGGTAGGCTCTCTCAGCATGTGTGCTATCTGAGCGGGGCTGCCGACACTTCAGACTCAGAAGCCTCAAGACTAGGCTCCTGCCTGCCACATGCCAAACGCTGTTCTGTTGAGGTTGCCAGAACAAATGCCAAATCTTGCCATAAGGTGCTCACAGTCTCACAGACAGTGGCACATGCTATGCAATGCGAGTGCGCAGGAGAACAGAAGAGGGGCAGCAGAGTCAAACCACCACGGGAAGGATAATTACATTTATCTCCCTAATACCTTTATAGCCAAGGAAATAGTAAAATTTATATCCAAAAGGCAAGAAACATCCCTAGAGCAAAGGAGATAGCAATCTGGGAGTGAAACTTTGTCATGCAAAATAAATCAACTAGGTAACCCAAATATGACCCAAAAGTAATACTCCACTCACAGTTATAAATTCATTTTTGTGGTGACACCGTAGGTTCAAGAGAACGCTAAAGTTTATGCTGGAAGAGGCCAAAACTGAAAGAAATCATCATTCACCTTTAAACTCGGCCTCCTCCCGAAACTGCTTTCTTACCGCACTGGACACAGTAACAAAGTGGGAGCCCTACAGTAACTGGCTGGGGCTCTCGTTCCCAGGACGGCAGTGACCGGAAAACAAGACCCCACACCCTGCGCCCTCAGCACAGGGCCGCACTGGCCGCCCCCACCGCTCACACTCCGCAACTCCACACCGACCCCACTGACGAATAACGCACAGTCAGTGGGCGGTCAGGTGCAGAGAGATTCAAATGCCGCACTTCGCCCCTTGGACCGATTCACCCAGGCTTATCTAAGAGCATGCGCACATCGCTCACACCTACGAACGAGAGAAACGAGCATTTTTAGAAGGACATTATGCCAATCATTCACACGGAGGCGTGCCAAAGCCTTCTTCGCCTACGCTTTCCTGTGTGAACCAAAACAAAAAGACCCAAAGTTATTGAAACCTTACATTTGTCCCTTCCCAAGAAAAGATACTAAACCTGTGAATTCTAACACCATGTCCTTTTGTGCTCATTGTAAAATACTGTTCTCAATATTTTAAAATTAGGTATAATTTCAATACAACAATAACATTCACACTAACAGAGGCCAAAACTGGGCAAGTTCATGCCTATGGAATGCTCTCACATGCTGAGAGCTGGGAGGGCAAAAAGTAGTTTTACTCTTCATGTTCAGGGGTGGGTTCAGGTTTAACAGTGAAAAGTAACAATGTTGTTGAACATCTCTGGGTATTTTGTGGTCCCATTTTTGTTTACAAAATATAGAGTTCTGCTCACGTAAGTCAAGCAGAGTGTATAGAAGACAGTTAGCTACTACTTCCCATCCTTCTTCCTGTCTAAACCCCTTTAGTGACCTTTGATGACTTGAACTTGAACTGTCCTGAAGTAGATCTTACATTTTGCCATTTACGACCTGTTGCCCTTTATTCCATGCTGCTAAACAATTACAGATGGTTAAGATATAGATCCGCCCTGGCCGGTGTGGCTCAGTTGGTTGAGTGTCGTCCCATGCACCCAGAGGTTGCTGGTTTGATTCCGGTCATGCCGGGATTGCAGGCTCTATCCCCCGTGGGAGCATGTAGGAGGGCAACCGATCCATTTCTCTCTCTCTCTCTCTCTCTCTCTCTCTCAAATCAATAAAAACATTGTAAAGTATTTACATAAAATGTAGCTCCAAGATACTTAACAGATGAAACAGAATTAGGCTATAGAAAATTTCGCTTAATAATCTGACTAATGGTTCACCTGTCATGTAAAAACACCTGCATTACCGAGGGAGTTTTCTAAGTCAAGCACAATAACATAATTACTTCTGTACCAACTTCTGTTTGTGTGCAAATGGTAATTCAAATAAAATAAATGCCCATACATAGAAATCACTTTAAGATTAGGTATACCTTCAATAGAACAATAACGTTCATACTAAGAGGCCAAAACTGGGGAAGTTCATGCCTGTGAAATGCAAGTGGGATTACTGGCAGCTCAAGGCTCCCGACCCAAGACAAACGGATCACTATGTGGCAAACAGACATAAAACAGATTTTAAAGAAAACAGGAGGACACTGATCAAGAAAAACAACAAAACGATGAGTTTATAATGATGAAAGAGTCAATTCCTCAGAAGACATAGCGATTACAAACTTCTATGTACCTACCAACACAGACGGAAATAAGTGAAACAAAACCTGACAGAACTGAAGGGAGAAATAAAAAGCAACCCACTTTCAATAATGAATCACTAGACAGGAGACCATCCGGGAAACAGCAGACCTGAACAACACTATAAATCACTAGACCTACCAAATATCTATAGAACACTCCATCAAAAACAGAATACACATTATTCTCAAAAACATGGAACATTCTCTATGACAGACCAGGTGTTAGGCCATAAAACAAGCCTCAATATATTTAAATAGAATGAAATGACATCAAGTGTGCTCACCAACCACAAGTATAATATGACAGTGAATCTCTCATCTAAACGATGCCCACAGGACACTTACGAACCTCTAACCTTTAAGGAAGCAGCCACAATGGTCTGACCCACACGCTCCACAGTTGCCACGTATTTGCCCTCCTCACCACCTTAAAAACTTCTCACCCCTCAAGGACCCGCTCAAACCTCACTTCACCTCTCACAAAGCCTCCAGGGGCTGCTGAGAAACTTTTCTTATTTTGTCAACATGTGTCATTTTAACTTACTGTCCAATTATTATAATTTGAATTTTTACTTAAAATCTCTATTAGGAAAGTGATCTGTCAGAATGTTCTTAAGCAATCAAATTCCTAACATGATACTCACGGCCATTCTGATTCAGGCTGCTTTTGGTGAGTTTCTATGACATCAATCGCAATATTGAGGTTTTCTTCCAGTTCTTTCATTCTTTCAGAATTAAGGGATGTAAACAAAATCATTGAACAGTAGGCAACAATTTTTTTGTCTGGGTGATTTAAGCAGGACCTTCCAAATAAAGAAATGAAAGTATTAGCCCAATTTAACAACATGATAAAATATAATTATAGCAAATAAATAATAATAATCCCAATAACAAATTCAGTACATACTAAATTTTTAAGAATTTAAAGGAGAATTACAACACGTTGAAACAAGTACATTATTTATTGCAAAAAAGGCAAGTATAAAATTAGTCACAACATCAGTATCCATTAATAGTCATAAAGGACAGACTGTTTAAGGGGAAGGTGGTATCCTGGCAAGAAATAAAATGTAGACAAGAGCCTCACTGTAAATCCTGGTTCATCCACCCGTCCTCTGTGATCTTAGGAAGGTCTCAATTTAGCTCTTGTCAATTACATTATGGGTCAGGCATGTGGCAGAATTTATTTTTTCATTTAAACTTCATAGCACTCTTCTGGAGAAGTGATTAGCTTTATACTTCTGTAACTTGAATCCCATAATTCTTTCCTTCCACCTAAGCTCAATTATTATTAATCATACAGATAACAGGTATATATATATATATATATATATATATATATATATATATATATATATGCCTCCAACTCTACTTATCTTTGAGTGACAGTTATACTCAGGGCACGAGAAAGAACATGAGGATTATCTGATGCAAACACCATACTTTACAAGTGACCCAGAAAAACGTATGCAACCAGGGAAGAACTGAGGCAGCGAGGGGGTTATGTTTAGCAGCACGAAGCTCCAGTTCCCTCATCTGCCCAAACATGGACAGCAACTGACCCCAGGGCTGGGCACAGGACAGGGAGAATGTGCAGAAATGCCCAGCTCGGGACATGCGAACAGCAGCTGCTCTGCTTACACGCTGCCACCACCAAAGTCACTCCATTCAGTGGCAACACAGCCAAGATGAGACACCAGGCCTCCACTCCCAGACACTGCTTTCCCCTTCCCTTCCTGCCCCATCACTTGCTCACCTTTGCACTCAATGCTCAAATTCTTACGAACTAACATAGCTGCTCAAACAAAGTAGAAGACCGCCAGGAAAAGTACCCTGAGCCAAGCTGGGGGAGCGGGTTGGGACCCACACGAACATTCTCCACATCTGCCAGCACTGTGCCGAGCACACAGGAAGTGCTCAGACACACATGAATGATTAACCCGCTGCCCACAACTCCATGTTTGATGGCTTTTTCTTATAAATTACAGTGTCCGCTAAGGACAATATTTCTCATTTTACCCAAACTTTTAATTTCTTAAAGTGAAACTGACACACAACAAAAGACACAAATCAATGCATTTGAGACATGAATACACCTATGCAACTACCACCCAGATGAGGGTACAGAACACTCCCGAATCCCAGGAGACTGGCTCGTGCCCTCTCTCAGCTGGTACTGAACCCGCCGCCACTCACCAAGAAAACCACTATCCTCATTTCCATGAGCAAAGGTTCACTTTTCCTGTTTTTGAGTTTCATGTAAATGGAATGATATAACCACAATTTTCTCAGAAATTATAAGAACTCAGCAATATACTCACAAGAAGAGTTCCGGGAAAGCGTGCACCCACACGATAGCCTGGGAATCTTCATTCCGTGAGGCAATATTGCCTAAGAACTGCAGGCCACAGCGAAAAGCTGAGAATTTATGAATAAAAAAGATGTATGTTTTTTAGAAATTTTAACATAATGAATAAAGTCATCTTAGTAAGAAATTCCCAACATTTTTAAATAGGAAGTTTCTGTTAGCTTCTTTTAACAATGACGGTGTCTGGTCACAGGAAACTTTGCACATGACATGAATATTAAGTGCCTTACAAAACAATGCACTCTACAAAGTTAACTAACGTCTGGAAAAGATTATCAATGTCAACACATATACCTGTAATTAAGTTAATCATGGAATATATGCTCCAATTTTTAAAAAGTTACTCTTAGACTAGAGTTTTTATAGTTAAAGCGGGGTAAAAATGATTTAAAAAAAGAAAAAGATATACTGGACAAATACCATTCTAAAAAGAACATCATAGACCATATAAAATCAGACATAATAAACCTTAAGGCTAATGCTTAAGGCAAAAACCATTATTGAAGATTTTTGTAAAGTCATTTCAGAATGACTTAATTCACCAGGAAGATATAACAATTTTAAATCGGAATGACCCAATAACATGGCCTCAAATACATAAGTAAAAGAAAAATTGACAGGGTATAAAGAGGAAAATCCACAATTAAATTGGACAATTATTAAATACAAACAAAAACATCAGTATACTGGTATTTAAAAGAAGTGAATATGACTTATTGACAACCTTGCTGATGTGTTTAGAATAGAACGCTGCTGACAGCTGGTGAGGACGGGAGCAGCGGGAACGCCCTCAGTGCTGGGAGAACGCACACGGGGCAGCCACTTTGGAAGACAGTTGGGCAGTTTCTTACAAAACTAAACATACTCTTGGCATGCGATCCAGCAGCCATGCTCCTCGGCCTTTACCTACAGGCACGGAAAGCTGTGTCCACACAAACGTGTACAGCAGCTTTCTCTGTAACTGTCAGAACTGGGAAGCAGCCAAGGTGTCCTTCAGGAAGGGACCTGATGAACGATGTTGCCTCCAGACAATGGAACAGTATTCAGAGCTAAAAAGGAGTGAGCTAGCAAGCCGTGGAGACACAGAGGAGACGTCACTGCATGTGGCTCCGTGAGCGAAGCCCATCCGAAGAGGCTGCACAGTGTATGTTTCCAGCTGCACCACATTCTGGAAAAGGGAAAACTGTGGAGACGGTGAAAAGATGAGCGGCTGCCAGGGGTTAGGGGAGGGAGCGGGAGTAGGTGGGACATAGAGGATCTCAGGGCAGGGACACTGTTCTTCATCGCACTGTAGTGGTGGGTACATGTCATCACACATCTGTCCCCACCCACAGAAGGTACCACACCCAGAGCGAACCGAGTGTAAACCACGGACTTTCCAGGTGACATGATGTGTCAGTGGAGGCTCATCAATGGTAACAAATGGACTACTTTGGTGCCAGACATGGGTGGAAAAGGCTGTGCAAGTGTGGGGGCAAGAAACACATGAGAAACCTCTGTACCTTCTTCTCAATTCTGCTGTGAACCTAAAACTGCTCTGAAAAATAAACTTTATTTAAAAAAAAAAAAAGAAAGAATAACAGTAAATAAAACTATTTAGTGACACAAAAAAAGAGACCTAAGTTCAATGCCCAACTTTTAGTGTGAACCTGCACAAGTGACTTAACTGTAGTCAGATGCAGCTTCCTCATCAGCTCATGGTGATAACAGTATCTATTCTGCAGAGCTGCTGTAAGGATGAGCTGTGAGCTCAGTGAGTGTGAGCCTGTAGCAGGGATCACACTCCATGCTCACCGGGCCACGCTTTCTGCCAGCACATAATATGGACTTGATAAACAGCTTAAAAAGTCAGATTTACAAATTTCAAATTAAAACGTGTTTGGTTCTATAGCCAAAGACTCTAAATCAGTGGTTCTCAACCTTCCTAATGCCGCGACCCTTTAACACAGTTCCTCATGCTGTGGTGACCCACAATTTCATTGTTACAAATTGAACATAATTAAAGCATAGTGATTAATCACAAAAACAATATGTAATTATCTATGTGTTTTCCGATGGTCTTAGGCGACCCCTGTGAAAGGGTTGTTCGACCCCCAAAGGCGTCACGACCCACAGGTTGAGAACCGCTGCTCTAAATGGAAACCTTGAATACTTAATGTGTAAATCCTTATAAGAATCTTACTATTGAGACAGGTATGTTTATACTCATTGGAGAGCACAAGAAACCAAGACCCCCACAAGTTATCAGTAACATGACCAAAGTCACACAATTATAAAGAATCACAATTCTGGATGAATCCCTGTGATCGCGGCAATCCAATATGGTCTGAGTGTTACCTCAAGCTTATCAGAAGCTCTACTTGGTAGTTATATGTGAACTTAATTAATAAAAAGGGAATTTAAAAATTTGCAGCATATGCAGTCTTCCCAAGGATATTTGCATACTGTAATACAATATTTCACCATATAACAGAGGAAATGACGATCTCAACAAATTTAAAGAATATATGAATAATGCTCACTGTGTACTAAAAATAAATCCCCCAAAAGATTAGCACACCCCATAGTTTAAAATAGGAAATATAGCTCTGACTGGTTTGGCTCAGTGGATAGAGCGTCGGCCTGCGGACCGAGGGGTCCCACGTTCGGTTCCAGTCAGGGGCATGTGCCTTGGTTGCGGGCACGTCCCCAGTGGGAGATGTGCAGGAGGCGGCTGATCCATGTTTCTCTCTCATCAATGTTTCTGACTCTCTGTCCCTCTCCCTTCCTCTCTGTAGAAAATCAATAAAATATATTTTTAAAAAATAAATAAGTAAATAAAATAGGAGATATAGTTCTAAATAACCCATAGGGACAAAAAAGAAATCATAACGCAAATAAAATATTTTAACCGAATGTTAAAAATACTGCACACTAAAACTTTGAGATGCTGCCGAAACCGGTTTGGCTCAGTGGATAGAGCGTCGGCCTGCGGACTGAAAGGTCCCAGGTTCGATTCCGGTCAAGGGCATGTACCTGGGTTGCGGGCACATCCCCAGTGGGAGATGTGCAGGAGGCAGCTGATCGATGTTTCTCTCTCATCGATGTTTCTAACTTTCTAGCTCTCTCCCTTCCTCTCTGTGAAAAATCAATAAAATATATTTTTTAAAACTTTGAGATGCAACTAAAATGGAACAGAGGGAAATCTGTAGCTTTAAAATGCGTATGTTGGGAAAGGTAAACAATGAAAATAAATGAGCTAAGTAAACATTCTTTTCCAGAAACTATAAAATAGCAAAATAACACCCCAAAACGGAGAAAATTAAAGATGAAGAGCAAGAAATTACTCAAATTGAAAACAATCAAAAAGAGAATATCAACAAACCCAAACTGATTTCATCAAGAAGCTCAATACTAATCAACCTTTGGGAAGACTGGTCAGAAGAGAGAAAGGGCACGAATAACATAGAAAACTGTCAGAAATGAAAAGGAGGGGACTGCCAAGATCTTGCAACTTAAAAAAAAGAAAACCGTAAGATATTACAAATGATATCTTACTATCTTAAATAATATTATGCCAAAATATTTGAAAATGTAAATAAAATAACCGAAACCCGAGAATATAACAAAAACTGACTGTGTAAGAAATTCCGTAAAATATCCAGGAAAAACCTGAAGAGCCCTCTCACCATTAAGGAAGTTCAATCAGTAGTCAAATATTTTCCCAAAAAGAAAACCCCAGACCAGAGTGTGGCCAGTTCACATTCAAGGAAAGAGTAATTCCGGTTTACACAGCTCTCCCAGAGAACTCCTACAGAAAGAGGGAGGCGACTCGCAAGCCAGCGCTCTGAGGCCAGCATCACTGAGACCCCAATCGGAACAAGGACAGAATCAAAAAGGAAGTCACACCCCTGGCACGAAACAATCCGCTAACAAAAGGCTCCAGAAGCAAATCACATGACAAAGTTGAATTAACACCTGCCTTGAAAGCTGCTTTAACATTAGAAATCAAAATTTATAACTGGCCATATTAACCTGCAAAGGACAAAATCATCTGATCATCTCAAATCCTGTAGAAAACAGATTTGATGAAAGTTAACACCCACTCATAATTTAAAACAAAACAAAAAAACTCCTAGTCACCTAAGAATAGAAGGGGCCTTCTTTAACCTAAAAATAAGTATCAACAAAAACCCATAGCACCCAGTATAATTACCTGCCGACTGCAGACAAAGAGTGTTCCTTCTGGAGGGAACGGGTTGACAGCCCTGCTGTTCCCGTTCCTAGTCAACATGGCACTGAAATCTGTCAGCAAGACCAAGACATGAAGCCCAAGGAGTGGAAAAGAAGAAGCAGAACTGTCATTTTACACCCCCCCCCCCGCCCCCCCGAGATGAAATGTCATTTCTAATCTACATAGAAAATATTAAAGTAGAACAAATTTAAGTAAGAATTATATCATGTTCACAGATTACAGGACTAGAGATTAAATGCAATTCCAGACTGAATCACAGCAGGGTGAGGGTGTGTGTGTGTGTGTGTATTTGTGTAAGTATAATTTCATACACCAGAAGATGTGCTTGTGTGTCTATGTAATGTGACGATATGATTTTAAAATTTGTGTGATGATACAAAGGGCCAAGCACAGCTGAGATGCTGTTCAAAGCAGTGAGAGGATTTGTTTTCACAGACAGTGAGCCCTGTGGTGAGACAGTGTGGTCCTGGGGCAGGGAGAGATAAAGCAATAGGACAGAACGGGATAAGAAAGACTCAAACCTACGTTGACATGTGATTAACAGGGATGTAACAGCAGATAGCTGAGTAAGAGACAGTCTTTTCAAAAATAATACTGGGACAGCTGGGCATCAGTACGAAAAAATGGAAACTGGACTCCGTGTTCACACAACACAGAAAATGCCATTCCATGTACTAACCTAAATGCAAAGAAGTCCAAATAGAAAGGTTTTTAAAACAATAACTCTGTTAAGAAAGATTTTAAAACCAAACATAAAATCATATCCACAAAGGAAAATATTAATAAACTGTATTATATTAATAGGCCACATTAAAC